GCCACCTCTGGCGAGGTTAATCACCAGCTGAAGAATAATGAATACCCAAGCGAGATCAATGAAATTAGGCGTGAAGATTTACGTCGTCGCCGTGCAGCGGGAGCAACATCTCATGATGGGAAAGGAGTGACACCTTGCATTCACACCTCAATATCTATTCGCGACACTCAGGGGGCACTGCTAGGACTAATCTCCAATGACTAGCTTTGAATAGCTGAGATGTTGCTAGTTCATAGCCGATGAGCTTTGCTCCACTCCCATTCGTGAGCCAATCCGCAGCTAGAGGTTATCGTTGCATTTACAAACTTATGGCATGTTCCTGATATAGAAAACTGGAGTATATGTAGCTGGATCAAATTGCTTCAGCCCAACAAATCTCTTAGATCTTCGAGCGATATCGATCGAGGGGCGCCCAGGTATATAGATGGATGTTAAACTATCTTGGAAAGGTTGATCATAATCAACATGACAGTACAGCATACATATAGCACCTTAAAGTCAGGTATCTGAAACAACAAATAATCGAAACTCCGAAACGTCGGTAATGAGCTTGGTGTTGACCTAAGCCTTAATTGGCAGCAGCACTATGACAAGGGTTTCCATTTTCAACAACGACATCTACAGCCCGTTTCACTAACCGCAATCGATGCTAGTGGTGTTGATCGAAGGTTCAACCATCACAGGAGCCAGACGAGTATCATCTAGACCTGTGTCGCGTATGACGTGTCTTATTTCTTCTCAAGAAAATCCAAAGGTGACCAGTAAAGTAACTCAGGACAGAGAAGTAAAAAGAGGGTCGACTAAGTGACAGCTAGTATGCAAAAAAATGCCATAGTCTTGAATGACACCGAGATTCTATCCAGTTCCTCCACGGTATCCCTTTTGAGACCAACCTACGCCAGATTTGACCGATACTAAGCTGTTAGCAGATCCTAGAAGTTTATGGGAAACGACATACTGTCTGCTGATGACCTTGAGGTACTGCCAAAACGCAAAGAAACACACACTGAAGACGTAGCCTGCCCTTATAACCCATCCCTACATACGGCATCTCAGAATGCCGTTTTGATCAGGTCGGTGTTAATCCACTTTACAAGGGTATCGTAGATACTACCAGATACAATGCTCGCTTTGATATGCTAAAGATCCAGTGTGTCCTCTCCAGTACTCGCGGAATCGACGTCAGGAAACATGACCCAGCGTAAAAGACGTGTAATCTCAGCAAGATCCTTCAATGTTGATGCGCGGTCTTTAGCATAGTTGTCGCCAGCTTTAGATTCGATACTGAACATAGCGATAGCAGACTCGATCAGCCATGTATCTGCAGTGCGGATGTTGAGGAAAATAATTCGATGTAATAGTAAAATTATAGCTGCACTGAAGACAGCGTACAATTCTTGAAAAACAAGTCTGCCATCAGGGCTAAGAAGGTGCATATGATTGGCTATGGACAAGGTGTGTCTTGCAGCTTCGCTACACTGCCGGAGGAGTCCAATCTCACTATATGTTTCGACATCCCAAGGCCTCTGAAGGCTTCGAGTCGCAAGCACCTGATGTCCAACAGCCTTTTCAACGGCTGTTAGAAACAGAGGGCGAATCGTCGAAATAACGAGCTGACGATATTAGTCAAGGTCTTATTCTTTCTCACCCAAGAAAACTGACCTGGTGGTAAAATACGTGCAGGGCGCACACAGACCGATCGATAGGTAAGTCACCAGTATCAAACCGCAAGTCCAAGATCTTAAACGACTCGGGGAGGCTTCGACGCCACTCTTCTAGTGCTGTGATTGTGTCGCGGACCTTAGACATTAACAAGTCAGATGACGATTCCTGAGGCATTGTTCGACATGTGTCGTTGCAGAGAAGGCGGCTAGCAATTTTGGCGAGTTTGATATTTTCGCAAAGGCCGGCAGCTCTCGGAAGCCCCCTACACGTCATATAGCATTAAATCTCGCAATCTTCTCGTGAGAGAAGAGGACATGACTTACTGACACTCTGTAGGCACAACACTAAGCAAGGCTTCCCCTATGATCGTTGGCTGCCATCCAAGTATGCAGCTTAACCAGCGTTCTAGGCAGTAGAGAGTCCAGAAGACCCTCCTTACTCTCTCATCTAGGGGTATCCGATGATATCCAATTGTTATAACGATATGAATAGCGGTTGTGATGTACATATATGCCATTCTATCCTGGTGTATCTCGACCAGATAGAGAGTCAAGAGAGAGAGCGCGGATGGGACATCCGGATCATACTGCTGGAAGGTATATGGGTCAAGGGGATTGCCAATCATGGAAAGAGCGCGCTTGAAGTACTTATCTTCTCGCTGGTGATCCTGCTTGTTCGCAGCTGTCAAGAGATTCGCGTATGCAATTGCTGCTTGACAAAGAGCCGATAAATGGGGATCGGTGGTGCCAAAGTCGCCAAAGTAATTAATACCCTGAGAGTATAACATATCGCTGTTTTTCGGGTTATGAATTGCTCCCTCTTGGACAAACCACAGAAAGTGCTCTAGCATATAGGCTGACTCGTTCGAGAAAGGTACCACCGAGGGTTTCCTCTCCGTTGCTAAGAGCGACATAGACTTATAAGTCAAATTCTGGTCGATGACTTCCATAGATTCGATGCTATCTGGGAGTCTTCCTTGCGTGCTTTTCAGGAGAGCTCTGGTCGTGGTGATGAACTCTTTGAGATAGATGTCGAACGAAGGCGCTATGTCCATATTTGATAGGTATCGCGAAAATGCTCCCGGTAGGCCTTGCAAGGATACGTGCCTTTTTAGCTGTCCTCTTTGGGTTGGATCCAGGACATTTTGCTGGAGGCATTTCTCCAACCTCTTAATCTGGATATGCAGATCGTCTAGTTCTTTGCGGGAAATATTAACCTTCTTGGAAGCCACCGGAATGTTACAGTTTCGTTGATTAGTGACACATTGGTCACAGGGAGAAGACCCGGAACACTTGATACGGCGGCGATTGCATGCATCGCATCTTGAACAATGTTAGCTACGGCTCTGCGGCAGGTAAGTCTAGCTAGGCTCGTCAGCGACAGTAGATAGATGGTCTTACGCTATTGCAACACGTTTTCGTCGTTCTGGAGGAACAGTTTGCCGCCGGGGATTGACAGTCAACCGCTCGGCAGATGATTTGCCGTCGACCGTGACGAAGGACATGCTTGAATCTGATAAATTATTTGAAGAGGTGGTCAGGATCGTGTCTGCTATGAATGTATATATTATCGGAGGTTGTTACATTCAAGCCTGAACCTAGACCTGGAGAGTGGTTAGTGTCACAGCCAGAATGTGGATGAGCGAAGAGACTTTCTCTTATGTGAGCTGGTGGGGTCTGACCCGGGATTTGGTACTCGTGTAATCCAGCCATGGCCAGTAAGAGATGGCAGTGTGCATTCTATCCGGTCCACTGTACCCTTTCTGAGCGAGTGCCTTTTCCGGTCTCTCGGTGCATCAACCGGGCGCTGGGTAAGGATATTGGTCCTCAAGCGATACACTCAGCCAGCCGTGCTGTCCCACATGTAGATTTGGTCTGGATCGGTCTCTCATGATTTATGACAAGTCATTAGAAGGTGCTCCAGCCCCATACGTCGTAGAAGTAACCCGCAGTTGCCACACAAAAAGAAAACTCACTAGCATCAATTTCACCATGTGAGATAGCGTGAAGAGTCTGGGAATGCATGCAGAGCTTCGTGGCGCTTGTTTAGTTTAGGCGGAAGTAAATATCAAGCGATGTATAGCTACTTTACTGTCTTATGTCTCATCCAAGCACCATTTCCCATGAAAACGCTGTTGACTCACCCCAGGGGTCATTTACCAAGAGTCACTGATTCCAAACGCCGATATGTATTGTGCCCCATTGAACCACCAGCCCTAGCACTGACAGAGGGCGGCTCAGTCCGGTATTTCGCCGGGAATCCGGAACGCCGTTGGGCCGGGCCATCCTGCCGATTTACCCTACCAGCCCGGGACCCACAAGTCCCGGGGGAGAGAAATACGGCGGCCGATGAATCGGGCCCGGTATGGCGATAGGCAAGGTGGGCCTGTACTGATCCCATGCATTATGTCGGCGCCTATCCCGATGCCATCCGGTCTCCCACTTTGGCTCTAATCGAGGGAAAATGTGCCCTTCGGTGTTAAACACGATTTCATAGAGAGGCAAGAGATCTGTCGGTGAGAAGAGAAGGTATAGATATTTCAATGTCTCCGCCTAGGCATGATCTGTTAGTGTTTGTCTCCCGCCATCGGCCAGACGCCGTCTGGATTTGGTAGTGTTTCTCACCAACCAAAAGCTCTCCATATTATCCCTCATCGGGGGTGGAATTGAGTTCACGTCATTGAGAGATGCGAAGCCTCTACCACTACCAGCGTCGGTATGTCTCTTAAAAGCCTCGAATATGTTCCAACCCCATTCACGATACAGAGGATCACCAGTGATCCACCATAAGATGAACAGACTCTCCACAGCCTCTGGGCGCTGGAGATTGTGCGCATCATTGGGTTTGATGATGACGTCTTGCCTCCACGCAGACCAAGAGTCCTTCGTAGAACGGGTCGACCGTTGCCCAGGTGTGGGCAGGAGATCCTGGTTGGCCGTATCGAACCAGGCAATCTCGGGGGCAAGGCCGGTCTCAGTAACCTTGTACATCGCCCAACACGTCTTCATGAGATCTCTCGCTAACTGCATCTGCCGCTCTTTGTCGGCATTCCACCCGGGTAGCTTGCGTGCTTCGGTCACCGTGTGCCCCTTTGTTACGCCGAGTGCAATCGATCCAGGCAGGAAACAGACTAGATGATCCATCTTCGGCAAGAGTTCTCCTCCGATGCCATTCGGTAGCTCGGCCACGAATCTAAGCCCAGCTTCGCGTGAGATTGTGATCATGTGTTCCTCAATCCCTGCCAAAGCTTCGCTCCACATCTCGAAGTAGATGGGCTCTTGTGTCTGGAGGAACTGTTTGATCAAATACTCTGCACCAAGTCAGCAACTTCATCCTTAAGCTTTAGGCTGTATCTGACCGTAGTACGAATCTCCGCGGCTGCCCAGGCGGATCTCTCGCGTGGTGAACCTGCCCGTTGCAGGATGCACAAAGATGGGCAGGAGGCCGCCTTCCATAGCATTATCATCGAGGACCTTGATCACTCTCTCAGCCACCCGCCAGTAAGTGTCATTGCCGGTCAGGTCAGAGAGATACTTCATCTCGAGCTGTACAGTAGCTGCTTCCGCCGTAGAAGATGCACCGCCGTTATCATGCGACACAATCCCGATTCTCTTTCCAAGATTCACGCTGGCATAGGGAATCCCCGACGGGGAGTCATAAGCTGCGAGCAGCCTGTCTGCCAAGTCCACGGCCAGCGTCAGATATTTGAAATCCCTCCGAGAAGTGACATGGGGAAGTCGGGTCGTAAGATAGTGAGCGGATAGGAGGCCCCCAAGCATTCGGATGGTTGTCTCGAACGTATTGACGTCCTGGTCTTGATCGTAGGACAGACTCCTCTGGAGCCATTTCCGGGCCTCAGCCAGGTCCGTCGTCAAATTCATTATCATCATGGTGTCAAGGCTGTCCACGATGATCCATCCGAGACCTGTTGGACTCATCTGCGAGCCCTGTTGCGTTATGGGGTGGTACCGGTCGTTGCCTACAGCAAAAACACCACGTTAGAGATTCATGATCGGGACAGAATACAGAACGGTGCGAACTCACCCCAAGCGTGTTTGCGGTATGGTTCTAAGCTCGCGACGAAAACTCTCTTGACTTCATCTCGGCGGAGATTCCAGTCAACGAGCCTAGTAAAGTGGTGATTGAGCCCGATGGGGTTGTCCCAGAACGAGTCCCAGAACGACAAAACCAGTCCTAGGAGAGTTGCAACGAGGGCCGCAGCAACGGCGTATTTCTGCTGTGTTCTTAACATTGTCGTCTGCCGTTGTGTTGGCTGTTGTTGGTGTCTCTCTCGTCTCTTCGATTTCGTATTCTATTGAATCTGTTACAACAAGAATCGCCTCTTGAAAGTTCCAGGGAATCTATTTTGAATTCTTGGAGGGTGGAGTGGTTTGGCGAGAGCAAGAAAGAGCAATTGTCGCAGACAACGGGCATCCCGCATCAATTGGATGCAGGGGGAATGTTGCCTCACACTGGCGGAACCCAGTACGGCCTAGCAAAGCCAACCAATGCCTCTTGACCGGTGTCTTTCGATAAGGCTCGATTTTATGCAGTTAATGCAGCATCTACACAATTCCAGGGGGTTCACTACATCGCCACACCATGGGCTTGGCTATTTGATGGAAGGCGTAAGCCTAGTGGCTAGGTGCACACAGGGGTCGGCTAGCAAACTTGACCGAATCTTCATTAATCTAAGCAACGGGGCCCAGCCCCGGCCGTGTGAAAGGTGACCCACGCTGCTAAGCGCGGACCAACCTAGCTGTGTTCACAAGCATGTTAGGTGGAGTTCTGGGATGTATCATAGGCGTTGGAGCGTGCGTCGACCTAACTTGCCTGAGCCATCAACACGTGAACGGTGAGGCTACGCACAAACACCGGGCAATGTGTGCATTAATAGGGTGGGACGCCACCGTAGGTTATCACCGCACGTCTGCCCTCCTGATATCTGTAAGGTTGGCGATTCGATCCGGTCATGGTCGTATGTACAATGCTCTAGAATAAGTTAGTCTTCTGTGGTGATGGAACCAGGATAAGAAAGTGAAATGCATAACATGGTTGGGTTCTTGTTGATATCTCACCGAGCTCTATTCAAGGCTCAGTCTTGGTCTGGTCGATTATTTTGGCAAGAGGCTGAAACCATGGTTTTATGAAGCAACCTGGCCTTGTATAAATCGTGTGTTGGGCAGTGACCCCCCTGAGCATTGGTATGCCTGATTGCCACCTCTCAGTGGACCAGCTCAGGAGTCAGTCAATTTGACTTGTTGGTGCAAACATGACATCTAGCCCCAGTCCTTCTCTTCACCGCAATGTTTGGTAGTAACCCGCGGCAACGTAGACCCGGTCAAGCAGGGGCAGATGCGCGTATCGCCCCGAGCCCGTACTCTCACCTTGGAATGGAACGCGCATCCTTCACGCGGCTCTCAAGTCCCAAGGCTCTTCGTCAAACTCCTCAAGGCCACACGAGGGCCAGCCTCAGCCAGCGTGTTTGAGGCTTTCAACCCCGGCTGAAGCACAACTCGAACCAACAGACGATGGAGCATACAAGCTAATAGGTTCGATAGTTATGTCCACCGCTTTACTGACCCGACTGATGCCTGGGCGCTGAACAGCACGAAATCCGGGACTAGTTGTGTTTCCTGTCTGCTTTATTAACCCTCGTCCGCTCCGAGATGCGATCTTCAAACTCCCGCACTACAAGCCAAACGACAGATGTAGAACAAACCTTCCAGCACGTCCGTCAAACTTGATTCCTATCAATGGCAACTCTTTATCCAGCGGAGACGAACAACGGCGTGGTGACCTCGTGGATTCCCTTAACCGAATTTACCCCTTCCGCCGCCTGCTCTAGCCAGTTCCGCCTCAACGGACCCAGCCTCGTTAAATTTGATCCCGGATACGGTGTGGATATTGACCCAAAAGCAGAGTGTGAACCGCCTGCCGTGACAACGTGGTGGGAACAACGTCGTCTGGGAGAAGGAAGTGGCCCGGGCCACACTGCCGTCAGCTTGGGTCCAATGACATGCCCGACCTCATGGACTACTGTGGCATCATCTGTCCGGGGCGGGTCGAGTACGCTTGCTATGTGCTGTCCCTAGTAAGTGATGATGTCCACTCCGGGGACGATGACTGACATTGCTTGTGCCACAGTGGCTACTTTCTCGCAAACGGGATTCCTGGCTCAGTCGCCGGTGACTGTCAATCAGTCGTCGATTCTGGTATGACGCTGACATTTGCGTCAACACCAGCGACGGAGTCGACCTCATGGGAAATCGTCACAACTACTTTGGCTGATAGCTCCACGGTTGGTGCTATCGCCGTTGTAGGATGGAATATTCAACAAGTGACCCAGGCCACTTCTTCCTCGTCAGCACCGTCTTCTGTCGCCTCAACTTCTTGGCGGCTAGAACCATTGCCCACATCGTCTAGCTCAACGACAACTGCCGGAGGGCCTAGACTGTCTATAGGAGGTGTGATTGGCATCACTAGCGCCTTGACCATAGCAACGATGGTACTTATTGCATTATTAGCATGGCTTTGCTGGTATTGTATTAAGATGAGGTCTTTCAACGCTAGCGACCACACGCGTTTGCAGAAAGCCCAGGAGGTTCCAGAGCTTGAACTAGGTTCCGCGCAGCGGGAGTCATCTGGAAACGGTGAGCGGTCGGCAGCTGAGTTAGACGGCGGACGTGTTTAATATACCCATAGCAGACCTTTCTATTTTATTTTATTTTCCTCTTTTCTTCTCCTTTTCTCGACTTCAATGCTGTCTGTTTGAGAGGGTGTAATTTCTTGGCCAAGAGAGACTAGAATGAGGGTGAACTCCAAACATGTATGAGCGACGTTTTCACTTATGGAGAGCTTTATTGAAACACCTATATGATCTAGCACTGTAGAATTTAATCTAAGATTTCTGACGCATTTGATATGTTGCTTCTGTGGAGCCCTCTTTGCATGGCTTACGTGTTGTGCTGTCCATTCAATACTACTCAGCTTCAGGAGTATTAGAAATCATTTCCCACTTCCCTAGATACCTCTACATTTGAGAAAGAAGTCCTCGTGAATGAATTGTTCTGGTGTTCAATGTCATAATTTTGCTTTAAGATCTAGCAACTTCCCGAAGGAACATTTTGCTGTCAACATACAGACCGTTGTTTTCAATCTGCCGTGGCCTTTCCTTGGCTACATTTCAGTCTAGCAACTCCCGAAAACAGTCAGAAATGGTACTATCGGGCTCAGCTAGTTTCCCTTTCTGTATGTCTTCACAAACATTCGTTGGTGGGGAATATATTTGAAAGACAACTTCACCTGGGTGAGTTGTCCATGCATGGTTGCATAAGTGCAAAGCTCTACTTAAATTCTCAGGCTGCTCAATTGAGGCTCTGCGCGCAGTGCGAGAAATTACTGCCCACTTCCTTAGCGGGTCTTGTCTCGAGTTAGCACCGTGGCCTCGATCAGCAAGGCTGTTGAGTTATCAAAGCTTTACTGTCACTCTTGCTACACCCATTTCGTTGACGTACACGCACTCTCTCATTCGTGGCCTAGGTGAAGGCATTCCGTTCATGGTGCAAATGATAGACCCTTATCTATGTGACTAACCTCGCATTTAGGGATGCCTGATGGGTCTATGACGGAACACAGCCAATGTCTTGGACAGGATGACCTCGATACAGAACGCCAGGTGAGGGGCCAAATCCGAGCATGACCGTGCCAGAGCCGCAAAAGCCATCCTAAGAAAGCAATACAGCACCCTTCGACCCACCAATCACTCAACCTATCATCCTCTCAACCCTGTCACACTGTTGGGGATCACGCAAGTCACAGTAGTCTCCTGGCGCCCGGTTAGTGAGTGTAAGAGCCTCTTCTGCCTAATCCCGGATGCAGGCCATATTTGGATCACTGAACCGGACTGCGTATGCTAGCTCTCACAACATCGGCACTCATAGGAGACCCCCACCTCCTGAAGTGGCATTGTTACATTGCTCAAATTCCAGGATAGCTTGGCCAAAAGCCTCATGTAGGAGAATGCTCGTAAGGTGGTACTGACTGGTTAGGCAAAGCCTCATATGACACATTTTTATTTATTTAAACAAGAGCACACATCCATTCAGTATTGGTAAGAAATCTATCTACAGGCACACAAAAGGTAAAAAATGGGCGGCTTTTATATACAATACCTTGAGAGTAAGTTAGCCTACGGCATCGTGTTCTGGGATATACTAATCCGAATGAGGTCTATGCCGGCGGCGTGGCTGGCGGGATCCTATGTATGAGCGTTACCGTGACCCGAACGGCTACACTTGCCTTGTTCTGGTCAACAGACGGGAGTATCAGACCGATCTCGCCTACGAGTCGGATGTCCTTGCCCAAGTGAATGCGGCGATGAGGGCATTTATGGTCTGCCGCAACTTTTCAGTGAATGGGGGTATGTTAGCAAAAAATGGGTTGGTCCAGGGCTTACCAACCAGAAGGCCAGTAGAGGCGGGGTGAAAAGGGGGAAAGGATGGGCCAAACATTTGGATCTAAGGCATAGGGTTTTATCATTGCGGGCTTAAGGGTTATGTCTCCTTTCAAGTACTTCATTGAAATAGGACAGTTGAGTCATAACGACGCACTCATCCGACAGCATCCTTGAGCGAACGTGCCAACTCAGTTTCGAGTTGTGTGTACCTAAAAGGAACATTTACATTGAGGGTGGAGGGGCCGGTCGATAAGAGGATGTAAGCCGAACAAGATTCCAGATGGCATCTAGTCGGGGATGATCGGCGAGGCTGGTGTTAGCTCAACGTACCTGATGCATGGGGCGACTGGCAAATGTACAGGAGAAGTATTCACGTTGAGGTATGCCAATTGCGTCAAGTGCATGCAGGACAGTACCAGCCCCGGTGCATGCAGCAAGCGATTACCTAGTCGGTTATGTGTGCAGACCAGCAGATTAGCCTGCGCCATAGACACTACTCACCCCGCCTAGGCGCATGTCGTCGCGGCCGATGCAATGAACGATGAGGTGGTGATGCGTGGTGCAGCGAAGACCAATTACTGGATATCACTCGCCATATTACAACATAGAACGTGACTATGGAAGGCTTACATATGTTGCTTGACTCTAAATCAAGCTAGCGCAACATTGCAGCTGAGAGAACACTGTCACCTTCGCCGGATCTCCCCCAAGCCCGAGTTGATGCTGGCCTAACCTTATCGAGACTAGTAGGTCAGTCACCGTGTCGACCCCTCCCAAGATAAAAATGCTCTGTC